TTTCAGAGATCCCAGTCTTTCTACGAGAGACTCGAGTCTTTCAATTTTTCAGTTTTATTCATTCAGTCTCTCTGTGAGAGACTCGAATCTCTGAATTAACAATTTTATCGTTCGAGTTTCTCATACAGAGACTGTGAGAGATCCATAAAAACACCTAAGCAATAACTGAGAGACTGTGAAAGACTGTGAGAAACTGAAAATTTTTGTCTAGGGAAGTTTGCCCATTTGTTAGGGATAATTCCTTGAATTACAGGTCCGATTTTCAAAACACTTTTTCCTTAAAAAGTCTATACTATAACGTAGGTTAGTATAGGATATTAAATATTGCAAAATATTAAAGGAATCGTAAACATATGTTTTATTACCGCATGTGACGCTTTCTAATGTTGTTCTTTTCATAGTTTTAATGTCTCCATTTGCTAAATGGGTCCGTTGTTTGAATTTTTATTACAAATATCGTAGCAATAAACATTTTCATATATATATTATTATTCTTTAAAGATTGCTTTTATTATTCTACAAAGTTGAAATCAATCTCGTTCAAGTTGAATAAAGACATGTAGGTTGGGCTTTACAACCACATAAAAATTGAGTTTCATGGTGCTAGGTTATATCTGAATGCTTTTCATAAAATGCATATACATATAATCGTAAAATGTAACAAAATATGGTTTATCAACGCTAACATAGTGAACACTTGCGTATGATAATATAACATGTAACATCAAATTTTTTATTTTAATTTTTGAAATACATATCAATCTTTTCATCCCTTTTACCATAAGTATCGCCAACGAGACGTGAAATATAACTGTGGTTACCACTTTAACGACATGTTTACACGAAAATATTAGAAACTGATGTTTTCTTTAATTTCACCGTCAAACATTTCAGAAGAAGCTTTTAATTTTGGCCGACGACTTACAGAAATTTACGACCTCATGCTTTTAGCAAATAACTCAGTAGAATTTAGTCCACTGCAGTAGAATTTATACAGCTTCAAACTTCACATTTGGCACTTATTCTTTTACGTTAAAGTTACAAAACAAAAACGGAAAATCACATGTATAGTTGAGACAATCAAAATTGGCTAAGTCTGAAATAAATTTCTGTAGGAATGGACGTATCTTCTCTCTTATTTCCACTTGGGACTGCAGTCATTGGCTGCGTTTTGAACACGCCCTTGTGAAGTTAGGAAATGCAAAGTGAAAAGAGATAACCAAATAATAGTAACCAGTGCAACGATTAGAGGTTGTTTAGGTATGCAAAAGGCCAGGGTCGATTTTACAACCGTCTGGTTGGAATTATATCTTTAAACAAGCGTTTTGCTTTCCTAAACTCCTAAGAATGTTGAACTTTCTTTAAAGTCCGATGCTGGCAAAATGCTCGAATTCTGCTTGTCTAAATCTCCTTCTATTAAACATTAATTGGTGTAATGTTATTCCTTTTTTTAATTAGTGTTCGCTGCAATTGCTAGCTGACATCTCTTTTCTGTGTTTACGATATTCCCTATAACGTTTGTCGTGAATAAAAGCAGGAGTTCTGTCAGGAAACGCCCTCATCTAGTTAGTAAGTTGAAAGAAGAAAGTAAATGCGACAGTTTTACTGCCGACTATGCCAATTTTGAACGTCTCAACTGTAGGTAGTACAATGCGCCTTTTGCATTGAAGTGACCATTTAATATAAAATAAAACACTGAATAAAAATTAAAATTCACCTGCATTACTAAATTGTTTTACAAATTTCGAATCTTAAAAATATTTCTTAAAAATTCGTATCATTAATAATCGATTTGTGTGAAGAGTTTAACAGTTTGTTGGAAATAGAAGCTCAGGAACAACGCCAGAACCTGAAGAACCTATTTGTTACAATTTTCTTGACTGTTTTTAAAAATTTATCAACTTTTATTAATTCTAATTTGAGTATAAGCAGATTTAAAAATAAAAGGATGCAAGAATATCCTTCCAGCTCCTTGTACATAACTACCCCTAGTCACATCCAAATAATAAGAGATCCTGTATAAGGATCTCGATGTTGGGGTGGAAAATCAAATATTTTAAAATTTAATTCATGTCATTTAAAAAAATGTGTGACAATCCAACAGACACTTTATTACTATCGCAGAACAATCAAGAGTTTCCAGTTGATAATGCATGCGGGAACTACCCGCATTCCCCAGAGCATCTTTACACTTATCAGAAAAGAAAAGTTCCTCATAAATTTAAATGAAACGAGGAGAATAGTAAAAGAAGCACTCTTGCTCCCAGATTTTAATTTAAATAGAAATGGAGATATGTAATCTTTGTGCAGTAAAGCTGAAATACCTATTTTCTTAGAGAAGCTGTGGAAAAATTCAAAAGAGCTATCATATTTCAAGGCTACAATTACACAATTTATATGTAGATACCTATGATATCCTGTATTTGGATATACGAGGGCGGTTCAATAAGTACCCGTGTAGTACCTGAGGGAAATTGGTGTTGTTATCGTGTGCTGCCATCTATCAAACCAGGCCAAAACGAATTTCAGACTGATTGATAGGTTAGTTTGGATTTGGCAGCCATTCGACTGAGACGTGTTTCGTTATTTTCGCTAAGATGGAAAAAGAGCAGTATCGTTCGGTAACTCGCTTTTTGTTTTTGGATGGGAAAAAATGCGAGGAGATGAAAACAAAGTTGGATACTGTTTAAGGAGACATTTCGCCATCTACGACCACAGTTAGATATTGCTTCAACGAATTTAAACGTGGGCAAAAATCCGTTTTTGATAGGAGCGACCAGGAAGCCTGGCAAACGTTGTTCCCGAGGAAATCATTTTACGGATTTTTTAGGAAAAGGAAGACCGATCACTGGACAATACTACAGTGAGCTATTGGACCGCTTCGACAAAAAATTGAGGGAGACACGGACGCATTTGACGAAAAAGAAGGTGCGTTTTCAACACGATAACGTACCGGCACATTCATCAGGAGTTGTTGCCGCCAAAATGCACGAATTACGTTATGAATTTGCTGCCGCACATCCCTTACTCACTCGATTTGACTCCCTGCGACTTCATCTTGTTCCCTACCATGAAGAAATGACTAGCGAGAAAGAAATTTAGCTCAAACGAGGAAGTCATCGCCGAGTAAGGGGGGATTTTGGAGAGTTCGACAAATCTTATTTTTTGGAGGGGTAAAAAAAATGGTAGGGTCGTTGGGAGAAGTGTATCTTTCTAAAAGGGGACTATGTTGAAAAATAAAAAAAAAAATTAAAAAAAAGGTGTCTTCATGTCTAACACGGGTACTTATTGAACCGCCCTCGTACAGTCGACTCTCGATAATTCGAAACCCGAGGGACTCTTATAATATTACGAATTATCGAGTGTTTGAAATATCAAATGGTTCGAAATTTAATCTTTCGAACTTTTAATCTGTATAGTGTATATAACGAAAGAGTAACAATAACTGAAATTAACTTGCCTCAAAATGTATGTAATTACAATCTTTCTGTCTTTTTCTCTCTGCAACTTCGAATTGTCGAATGTTTGACGCCGATGAGTTCGAATTAGCGCGTCGTTTTGTTACGTATAGCGATGATTTTTTTCGTTCGAATTACCAAGTGCATAAAAATGTATTGATTTAGTTCGAAATATAAAGAGATTTTGTAGGGAACTCGTGATAACTTTGAATTATAGAAAGGTTCGAATTATCGCAGGTTTGAATTAACGAGAGTCGACTGTATTAATATTGATTTTTTAATGTTCTTTTTATATCGAACACTGCATAGTTATCGATCATACATGTGTAATAAGCCATTACCGGCGATATTAGTTTGATATAACGATAACAATTTGATGGGCATAGTTATGTTTGCATGTGTTACACATAAATGCATTACGTGAGCTACTGAAAACAAGACTTATTGTGGTATCGACCAGGATATTGTAAAAGAATTTGTTTGAAAATAAGCAAATGCCTTACAATTTCATTTCGTCGTTCCGTCCAAAAGAAATTTGTATAATAAATAAAGCATTTATAACGAGTAAAATTTCATTAAAGAAAAGGGACGAAAAATCTTATTACAACTTGTTACACAATTGCGAGCTACTTATTTTCGGCAGATTTCAAATAATTAAATGACAAAGAAATTGGCCCTTTTCAGTGGTATTATATTCCTTTCTTGGTCATTAAGGGTATGCGCATCCAGAACAATAGAAGACACCCTTTAAACGTGGTTGAATAGAATCCTTTGCAGAAAATTAAATTGCCGAACAAAAGAAAGGGATCGACTCTGAAAAGGGTCGTTTATAACTGTAACGCGTTCTTATAAATTTTTTACAAAACCTATCTAATGATAGAAACAAATTTCTCGTATGAAATTCGAATGTTGTACCTTCAAATTAAGCCATTAACTCTTATATATTGCTTGTGCAAAGGCCTTTTGACCACAAAAAATTTGAACAAGTTTCGCACCTTATCCGTACAGAGTCGTATTGTACCTATTTAATAATCTTTTTCAAATTTCTAAATTAATCGTTCACGAGAACGGAAGTGTTATTGCCTATTCACTTAGAGAAAAGTACACCGAAAACGATGCGCATAAACGAAAATCGGTCGGTACTTTTAAAGTTGGATGTGTGCTTCTATCATTTGTTGCTGTTAAAGCTCAATCGTAAGGCTCTGGCACAGTAAATAACTTTTAGCAGTTATGTAAGGCAGTCGGCGCACATTAATCTGGCATCATGTACCTTTCTCTAAGCGAACGGACTCCATATAGTTTCTAAAAAGACGCTATACTATTTCTTCTATCCTGACAGTGGAGAACCTGCCGTAGGGTTGAAAACCCCAAGATGATGAATCGTTTGTACGTTGTGATGCAGGTATTTGTTTTAATTTTTCTTAGTAACAATTGCGTTACGGGAAAAGCGCGGGATAAATAGGGTTCGGGAGTGAAGGGAACAGAGAATGCGCACAGTGAAGAGTTTTCACTTCCAATACGGTTACGGAAAATCAGCGCTCCCGTTCGCTTTAGTATACGGTTTATATTGCAACGAGATGTTCGGTGAAGTCGATCATTTTTCTTACGTCTTGCGGTCCAACAACTCGAATTTAAAGTGTCGCCAGAGAACTTTGCTTGGCTCCTAAAGCTTAACGACAACAACAAATGAGCTTAGTGAAGTCGACGATGCGGTGCTTGGGATAGAAACGAATCACAGGCGCTCGACAAACTTTACAACTTTTAGAACAACTGTACAGGTACGTACTCGCTATTTAACATAGAAAAAGAGTTTTCAAAAAGTTAAGTTTCTTCTTATAATTCTAATTATTTTAAGCAAGCACTTACATAAATAAATATCTACGTTAGTTTCAAATATAGAATAAAACTTGCAACGGTAGCTTCTTTTTTGTAATTAACACTCTAGCAGTTTCTCTTTTCCCTGGTAATTTTTTCTGTAGTTCCCAACAATGGGAATTTTAAGATAATAATTAAATAATTAAGCCGTTTTTATTTATGAAGCGCATTGTATGAATCAAAAGAAGTTAATAGTTTTTACTATTTTGAAATAGACGTAGAGTTTTCTGGACTACTTGTCTACAAAAAAAAATAAATTGAAATTCGACAAAAAACTATCTTTCGTCTTCTGAAGTTGTCATTAAATCAATAAAGAACTTTTAAACTCCCGTAGTTCAAGGGTCGCGAAAGCTTTTGACCGAACAATGATTAAAATAGTTAAAACTTAAACAGAGGGATGCTGTGTTCTTTACTTTTGTACAATAGTTTTTATTTTACGTGATTAATTTCTCTTAAAGCTGTACAGTATATGCAACTATGCCTTTGGGAATAAAAACTATTATTAAATCGAAGAAATTCTTAAACCTTTAAAAATTGATTGTTTCTATTTCTGTAACCACGCCGACAAACCAGTCATGCAGCGCTTTTCTTTCCACTTCATTTAAAAAATAATTTTATCAAAATAAAATATAGCCTTCTACTAGTCGAAGAATTTTGAAAATCGGTTCAGTAGTTCCAGATTACATTTGGTGAATTTCAGTTCTTAGCTAAATTCTATAGTAATAAAAATATTTTCTGCTTTCGCTCTTATATCTTGTAATTATCCAGTAATTAGTAAAATAATTAATTAATATCCTTAGTACATACCACACTCTCCTTGCCATAACTAAAAGCAGGAAAATCGCTGCTATTAAACGATTGATTAGGTAATTATTAATTTTTTATCATCCAAAACCATTTAATAATTAAAGAAAAATTAAACAATATCCTGCAATTACAATTTCGGTTTTAATGAAACGCCTAATTAAAACAAATTATACAAATAAAGGCTCACACAAAATAAAACAATCAATTTCGGGTAATTTAGTCAGATAGAAAATCTTTGCGCTGTTAAACAAGAAAAGAACAAACTGAGAGTTTATAATTGGTTCATGTCATGTAATACTACTTAGTTTACATCCCAAAACAACTAGCAACTAATGGAATCAAGGAATTTACTTCTGTTTGTTAATGTTTCATATAAGTTCCTGTTTATTCGAAATGTATTTATACGACCACAGGGGAGCAAATAGTGGTAATAAACAGATTTAACAGTAAATTAAAGCAGGTAGAACACTAATGTTTATATATTTAAATATTTATATTATATTACACTAATTAGACCCTCGTTACTCTGAATAAGACATTTATAGATACGTTTTTTTAGTTAGTTCCATTCCTTTATTATTATTATTTTTTTTATTCACTAAGTATCCTAAAAAGTGCAAATAACTCATTAATTTTAGTTTTGTTTCTAATTTGTCGACAATAATCAACGAATTGAAGCAATTTTGGATGTTTTATTAAACGCGATTTAAAATCAGCTTTATTTTTTTATTCATCGTCCTAATCCAGTCCGTATAGTAGTTCAAACTAGAACATTTACATCCCTGATTATTTACGAACAGTAATCCAATCTAACATAAGTCTATATCCTTGATCTTGTTAACTCTTGTATCATCAACATCCACCTATAAGTCCATATCTCAAACGTTTTTAACCTTACTATATTCGCTGCACCCACCGTCCACATTTCGCACCCATACAGATTCCTGCTTTACAACACAAAAGCACAGAAGCGATTTGAATTTGTTAAAAGTGACCCGATCCTGTACTATTATTTGAGAATAAAAAAGTTACTTAAGGAAACACTAGCGACTGTACCGTTTAATAATGAATAATCTCCATCATCAGGTCGTTGCTTTCTAACTAAAAATACCCCTAGTAACTAACTGACAAAGGTACAAGGGAAAACAAAGCCGACGTTAAAAAATTACTGGGCAAAGTTTCTTTAACGACTTTTTGTTCTGGGTTATTTGTTTTACTTCAGGTGGGTACACACATAATCCACTCGTACTACTTAACATTAGTATAAGAGTTATAGTAGCAGTGGCTCGCTGAGAGAAAACACAGGGACAAATAAAATTTGTAGGAGTTGACTGGAAGAGCTAGGAGGTTTTCTTTTACTCTTTTAGCTTCCAGGCATGCCAGTAATCCCTTAAACAGAGTGAATTACTTTAGGAAAGTAAAAACAACAATAACAACGTCTGCCTGACAAACGAACTTGCTTTGGACTTTTACAAAAAAACTTTTGTAACTAGACCTACAAATATTACCTCTACTACTAAAACAAATATATTAGGTGTATATCTATATAAAAACAACTCTAAAAGTGATGCATTCACTTTACAAAACTAATCCATTACTTTCTGAACTTTGAACGAAATCGAAATTCGAACAGAATAATAGTAATTAATTGCGTAGCACAAGCACTAAAAAATGATCTAAGCAAACGTACTATCCAACCAGGGATTTGAATTACATCTATAAGGATATTTTCTTTTCGTATAGTTTCTTAAAATTTGAAATTAGTTGAATTAGAGAGTTCTTCAAAAACTAGTGAATTATATAACTTAATCGACTATTAAGTTCTAAAAAGAAGAAGTTTTACTACGTTAAATAATGGAAATGAAATTAATGTAAAAAATTTATACTTTCACAAACTAGGTAATTACCTAAGGGTACTTACATAAGTATCTACTTATAGAACTTTAAGTACAGAAGTTTTGAGAAAATGAGAAATTTTCTTGTACCATCGCGTTTAAAAGATAAAGATGAGTTTAGATAAGGAAGTAGGTTGGAACTGTAAAACGTAAACGAAAAATGGTTTACAATACGTGTCCTGTACCTGTAAGCATCTTTATCTTTAAAATTGGTCCTAGTTTGCGATAAGTCCTGTAAAGATACGGTTCGATATAGCTCCTGAATAATTGAACACCGGCAGATGTTCCAAATAGATCTAGGTGGAACAAATACCTGAAATGAAAAATCGTTTTCTTCCCAATATATAAACGATAAGATATCATTTATTGACAAAAGAGGGTAGAAACACATGTCTATAAGTCATTTATCTAAACCACCCTTACCTATTTTCCAATCTTTCGATAGATTGTACAGGTTTTTTTGTAATGAGCTAAGCACACAGAACTTTCTAATCGAACACAAGATTCATCATCATAAGGTCGTCAGTCCCAAGACTGGTTGGACGCGCACCTTCACTCTTTCTTATCCTGAGCTAATCTAAAATATCCCATATTCTTATCTATTTGTGAACAGCACTCTAGGTCTACCTCTACTCCTATTAACTCCTGCTTCTGCTTCTAATATGTCTCTGTCTAGACCTTCATGCCTGAGAAGGTGTCCTACCAACCTATCACGCCTATTTCATATTGATTTCCGTTAAGACCTCTGTTCTATTGTTTCTAATAACTCTTCATTTTCGACCTTAATGTTAATGTTAATTCGATTATTAAACAGATACAGAACTGAATGTGTAATTATTGGTAAAAGCAAAAAAAAGAAAAAAACAATAATTACAACTTTGTGGGATATTTGATATATAGCATATGGCGTACCGCTTGTGATTCCCACAATTTATTTAATATTATGGAAAAAGAAATAAAATTGCATTTTGGAAGAAGTTGATAATATTAAGGAAAATGTTAAAGAAGTATCAGGCGCAAATAAAGAAATATATATTATATACAATTGAAAAAATTCGATTATTTATTTTCTCAAATTGAAAGTCTTGAGCAACATCTAATAAATAATTACAAAATGATAATAATGTTTTGTTGTTTGCTTTTTATTATTTATTGATACGTTCACTTGCATGATGTATTTACTATTTATTGACAATCATTTGTAATTATTTCAAAGTAACGTAAAAAAGAATTAATGGAAGCTTTTTGAAAAATGCCTACAGTAAGTAAGCAGCTAGCAAATCTTGCTGTGTTTGCTCAAATTTAAATCAACACAGGAGCGAATTGGAACATCGAATCGACAGATATGTGAATGTATATGGGCAAGATCTAATTACTTACTTGACTATATAATTAACGTAATTAACAACCTAATGTTGATAGCTAAGCAATTTCAGCTAAGTTACCCTTTTAGGTAGTTACTAAGCATATAATAAATATCCTAGATATAGTCTAAATCATACGAAGCATCGAAAGATTTAAAGCAACCTGGAAGATGTATTTTAAATCATCTATTTTACAATTGTTTATGCGAGACTGTAAAATCGTGGAGACTTTCACTATTTTATTTATTAATTTTACAAACAATATTTGTTCAATGTATTTTTTTGTTTCTTCATTCCAGTTCAAGCATTTCATAGCAGGTTTTAGTTCTAACACTTTTTTATAATATTCACCTATCGGAAATTGCAAAGCTTTAGCAACAAAAAGAAAGGTTCAATTTTGATCTAAAAATCCCAAGAGAAATAAAATGAAGTTGAAGGTAAAATCTTAACCAGACACAAGCACAAGTGCTTTTAGTTCTCTTCGAGACTTTCATTCCATGTATGTAAGTGTAAATAGCAAAGTTAACTTCGTTTTGAAATTGCAAAAATCAAATTTACTTTAGCGTCTTCAGCTGAACGTTCTGAACTTTTTTAATGTAGATAAAATTCATGGGTTACAGAATACGAGGTACGGTAATCTTGGATATACGTAGGCTATCAATAAATTATAGCCCATAATATTTTTAATGAATTAATAACGTAGAAAATTATAGGCGATATACGTTCTTATAAATTTTTTACAAAACCTATCTAATGATAGAAACAAATTTCTCGTATGAAATTCGAATGTTGTACCTTCAAATTAAGCCATTAAATAAAAAAATATATTCTTTATCG